CACAGGTAGTTTCTCTGAGTTCCACATAGCAAAACAACTTACAATTTAAAGTGAGCAAACTTTAAGGAGAACTTGGTCTAACGAGACATTTTAACTAGAATGCATTTGACTTTCTCACGTGTTCTATAAGATCTATAGGATCACGTGTTCTATGGGTTCTATAGAATCTCTTACTAAGAGAATTAATTCCATGTTAAAACAGTTCTGTTTAAATGTGTTATAAAATGGTATAGTTGTTGTTGTTAAGTGTCATCAAGTAGGTTCTGACTCATAGCAACCCTGTAAAGGGTTTCTGAGTAGCAACAACATCACATAGATATATAAAATAGATACACGTATGTAAGATGGACACACATGTGCATATTATACACATATGTAAGACATACATACAAACATAATACATATAAGCATCTGAATACAACCACTTACACTTTTATACAGAGTAAGCAGAATCATGTGTGAATATCTCTATGCTGGAGGAAATAATTCTCTTTAATAAGGTCTATAGTGGAGCACTAGAGGATAACGTGCTTGACCTCAAGGTCAGTTTAAACCACAAGGTCGGCAGTTCGAACCTACCAACTGCTCCTCAGAAACACTGTGGGTTGGAACGCACTTAACAACAACAGCAGCAATTGCCTACAATAGTTGTTTTGTTTTCATCTTAAGCAGAGCACTAATAATGATCTATTTAGATTGCAATATCCTGCAAGTAACTAAAAAGAGAAAATCATTTAATCCCATCCTTACCAAAGTTTTCCTGCAACTCCTAATAACAGAGGTAGTGTTTAGGAAGTAGAGAACAAATGGAAACAATTTTCAAATACGAAGAATACAAGAAGGGGACTGTGCCTCGACGCCCTCCAAAGTCAGACATTAGGTCACTATCAGAAAGAAACACAGCCGACCACTTCAGCTATGGCTTCAAATGAGGCAGAAGCTGTGCTGCCAACTTGCTGAGTCTGCACCTTCTCAAGTCTTTGAGAATTTCCCAGGATAGTTCAGAAATGCCACTAGGAGTCTATGTAAGGGGAGGTCTCATCCCCTTCATCAAACTATATATTTTCCTCCACTCCCCATTCATACTCAATTCCTGCAGCCCTTTGGCTGAAGAAGTGACTACAGATGAGACACTTGTTCCAGAAGCCACTAGTGAAAAGGTGCCAGAAAACTTTCTGTGTCCCAAGTTGAGCCAGAAACCAAATTGGACATCACCGAAGGTGACTTGAAGTCTTTGGAACACGAATCTGCACAACACAAAACACCAATCAGGGAGACAGAGGAGGCCAGAGGAAGGTGATGTCTAGCATCTCCTAAAAGGAAACTATGCAGCCCATTCCTTCAGATTCCCATGTCTGGCACTTCCATTTTATTCTAAAAGAAAGCAGCGTTTTAAACAAACAAGCAAACCATGCCTACCTAAGAGCCACACCACCCCAGATTCAAATCCCCCACAATCTTTCTAGTTCTCCACAAATAAAATCGCCAGTTCATTCTGCTCCCTCGTGGTAGTAATTGGGAGTGGGGGAGTGATGTCTTAAGAAAGACTGTAGACATCCGATCAGATCAGAATTCAAGACAGCTTCTCACAACTCTCTTGTTTATAGAAAATGAGTGTCTGCCTGGCTTGCTTTTATTTCAGACAAGGGGTCAGTCTTTATCAGCATAGTTCACACAGATCCTGGATTTTTTCCTCCCTTATCTTAAATTGACCCGCTTTTAAGATAAAGACATAATAGAGAAAGCATTGACCTTACCTGGTCCCTAATAAGGTGGAAGTCAGAAAACCTCGCTCTCATTTCCTGTTATCCTGGGAAGAGACTCCTGCTACCCTTTTGTGCACTCTCGCCTCCAGATAGCTGGTCACCGGCGCCCATACGCGAGTGAGCGCGCTCGGCTCGAGGGTCTGTTGGGCCTCTAAAGTAAGAACATTCTTCACTGGGGCCTCAAAGTAGGAGAGCTCGATGCCAAACCTAGACATGATTCCTGAAATTCCCTACCGTTGCCCCAGAAAGATTTAAAATCCAGTGGGAGGCTCTGGAACAAGTCTTTCCTTTTGAAAGACCAAGCCCTAACCAGTGGGAAGAAGGGCTGCCTCCTGCGAGGGCCCAGGGCTAGAGCGCGCCGGCCTCCCCGCATCCAGGATGTAGACCCAGAGCGTGTCTCGAGTAGTAGTCCCGGGCTAGACTTGGATTTCACCCGCAGGCCCGGTGCAGCTTCCCAGCCGACCAGCCCCTGCGCGGAGCCTTTGCCCCTTCCGCTAAGGCATTCTCAGCTCTCACCCGCTTCCTGGCCTCGAGGACTCCAACTGTAGCCGCTTGTGCGTGCTCCTGTTGGAAAGCGGTGGCAGCCCAGGCTCCCTTCCCCCTTTCCCAGAGCATTTCTGCTCTGTTCTGTTCTTCTCGCCTTCTCCGAGCCTGACCCAAGCCGGGGCCCGGCCAGCTGAGAAGGCTGCTTACCAGCTTCTCCGGCCTAGAGCTCTGGTTCCCAGGCTGGGGCGGGGGTGGGGAGCCGCTTTGGGATGCTAAACATCAAACAAGCCAAGCCTAGGGTTTCAGGCCCCGAAGCCACTAGAGCCGCTCTCCAGGACTCTCGAGAAAGTCCTCGTGTTTACACGGTAGGGTGGGGGTGGGGGAGAGGAGAAAGGGGGACGCCGGCTGTAAAATTTCCCCCACTCCCCACAGCGGTCGGGGCCTAGGAATGGGGTGGGAGTGTTTAGGCGGGGGCCTTCAGATTAGCGGGGCCCGGGGGTGAGCTGCGCTGCCCCCACATATAGGGGATCTTCCGCCCTTCCAGGCATAACACCAGCAAAGGCATCCCCAGAAGGCCGATTTCTTTCGGTTCAAGCCAGAATCCGAATTGTGAAGACCTAGGAGGATTCCGGGAAGGGACTACGGTCAACTTCCTAGAGGCTAGCTAAGATACGTGGGGTTGCGGGGGAGGGGGCCCTAGGCTGCCGAACCCTCTTTCGCTGCGCCCCTTGCGCTCCCATTTCCTCATCAAGACGCTTCAGATCGCTTCCTGCAGCTGTGAAGGGCGCCCGGGGCGTGGAGTGGGAACTGGTGGACTCTGCGTGATTGATGGGGAGAAGCCGCTCAGGTCCTGTTTGCTTCGGTCCCATCTGTAGACCTGGCTGAATTCACCTTTCCCCGGTTCAAGTAAACAGACTTCAAACTAAGCTGACTCCAGACGGCGGGGAGAAGAATGTATTTGTTAGAAACTTCATCCAGGGCAAGGGTGACAAGGCCTAGGGTACCACAATCACTAAAATTGTGACATCCGAGGACGGGGCCGGGTTAGGATGGGGTGTAGGGGCTGGGGGAGCCTAGCATCCGCCACCTTGGCCGCATTCCCTGTCCCGGCGGGGAGCATGTTGAAGGGAGTTTGCGCATCCACAAAATACGGACTTTAAAACCCTCCTCGGTCCAGCCTGAACTGAATTGGCTGCTTATGCTCCCTGTCTCAGGACCAGGGCTGCTCATTCCAACTCAAGTGTTCAAACTCTCAGGTATTTTGTTTGCTCTCTTAAATGGGAGGCCTGCTGAAATTCGTGCCAACTAGCACACGCTCTCAACCAACCAACATTCTTCGCCGAACCGCGGTGTCCTAGATACTGGAAGCTGACCTGAGTTTCTGGGGAAGAAAGACCACCATATCTTCCAGTCCTAACCCACCAAAAGAGAGGCTCTGTCCCCAACAAACCAACAAAAGACCTGCTGGGGCCGCGGGGGTGGGGGGATGTGTAAGGACCGCATCGAGACGACTGGTCTTACAAACTGAGGGAAGGAAGGTGATGTAAAAACAGAGAGAGAGAAATAGAATGCAATGTCAAACAAGATAGAAACGAAAAAGTGAAGCAAGATAAGAAAAGGAAAGCTCAAATTCTAGACAAGAAGTGAGTACAGCCAAATATAAATGAAGCCCCACAACCAAACACTTCCAGGCTTAGAGAAAAGGTGCTGTGGACGACTTCTGTCTGCAGTGCAACGGGGTTGCCTTTCTTCGGGAGATTTATCAGGGGTTCAAAGAAAGGAACAAAAATCCATCCAGGGATCACTATTGCTGGTTTTTTTTTTCACCTCCAATGCACCTCCCCCACTTCAGCTTTAAGAATTGCCCCAACTATCCCCAGAAAACGCTTCTGGATATCAAGAAAACCAAAAAATTAGAAATCCTTAAGAAAGGGGACAATTTTATTTATTTTTGCTTTGCTGGGGGCAGAAGAACTATGCATTACTAGATTTCATAGCCCAGAGATGGAAACTGGTGGAACAAAGAATGAAAACACAATCCTCAAAGTCCTGTCTGGGGCATCCCCAAGTCAGCAACTCAGTTCTACACTACTGGAGACCAGAGAGACTGGAGAAGCTGGGGTCCATGATTTAGTCCCTGAGTGGGGACGCTTTTTTAAAGTGGAAACAAATGCGGCAATGAATTCCCCACCCTCGTTCAAAAAGAGCCTCTCCTATGTGCAAGATAAGCACTTGACTGCTAACCACAAGGTTGGTGGTTCAAACCCACCAAGCACTCCTCAGAAACCCTATACAGGGTTGCTATAAGTTACAACTGACTCAAAGGCACTTCCACATCTAACTGTCATAGATTAGAAACATAGTTTGAAGTTCAAATCTACATAGGTGATTACTTCAGTAAAAGTGGTAGCTCATTCAGGTCAGTGTTTTTAATCTTTGAATGAGCTGTGAGAGTGTAAGACTACACAGTAGGTACTTCCGGAACTTCTAAAACAGAAGCTTGACGCAAAAAAACGAGTCTTTTGGATTTTCTCTCTCCCTCCCGGTGGAAGTAGCTATCTATTGCCAAGTCATAGGACTCCACTCAAATCTGAGACTAAACAAATCTCCCTCTTTTCCAAGGGCAAGGACCCAGGTTCGCCTGGTTCTTTGAGTCCCTAAACAATTCGATCCCATCAAGCCAATGATAAGGTCCTTAACCAAAAAATAAGAGTCATTTAAAACCAAATCAAAATCAAACAAAAAGGGTTTTTAATCAGAAAAAGAATCTTTTTAATTTGTATAATTTATTAGAAGCTTCTTAAGAACTATATTTAAGCCAAGTATCTACATAAGTTACAACAAAAAAAGACTGACGCCGTATATACCAAACTGCCAAATAATATACAGAGATTTGTCAATGCCCATAAAAAATGTGAGGGATTAGGGCAGGGAACTGGGTTTCTTTTTACAACAAAATATACAGATTGCTAAAAACTAGGCGTTTAGTCCAACTTTTGACAGCGTTTTACAGCTACAAGTTCACATCAAACATAAAACAATTCTCCACCGGGTCACGGAATCCGGTCCCGGCCGAGCCTTGGCGGATCAGTGGGCGCCAGGGAGGGGGCGCTTCCTTTGAATCAGTGACAAGTGGGTTCCGTCGAAGAGTCTTTCTCTCCCCAGCCCCGTCCCCCTGCGAAAGAAATCCTGGTATTTACAAGAAAGTCCACTTTCCTGGCAGATTGTACGCAGAGTGAAGTTTGTGATCTTTTAAGTCCAGAGCCATGTCATTGTAAAGCCCTCTCCAAACTGTGCCCCGCCCGGGCGTGGGAAACCCATTTAAATCACCTAAGAGACACCCCCAAAGCTGTTCTCTGTGTCTTTTTGTTTAAAGACTCCTTAAAGAATTAGATTCGCTTGGTTGTAGCTTTTATTTTCTTTAAAAACAAAACAAAACAAATTATAATAAACTTTAGGGGGGAAAAAAAGACGTCCAGCAGTTTGGCTTTTGTGTTTTTTCCTTGGTCTAAATGGGGATAGTTTTTTTAAGAAAAGTCGAAGCGCGTGGAGCAGCCGGAGGACGGTGGTCTGTGAGGCAGACGAGAGCAGTGAGGCTAAGCGCGGGGCTAGGGCCGGCCCGCCGTCCTCTCACCAGGTCCGACCATATAGCAAGGTGGAGCAGGACATGGTGCCGTAGTCCGAGCCCGAGGAGTTCAGGTGGGACAGGCTGGAAACCTGGCCCTGCAGTGCCGCGGGGCTGGCGGCGTGGTGTGCCAGGTCCGGAGACTGGCCCGCGCTGCCTGGCTGGTGGCCTGGGTGTGCGCCCAGGCCCGGGCCGCCGCTGCCCACGGAGATGGCTGCGGCCGCCGCCTGTGCGGCCTGCGCCTGCTGCTGCGCCTGTTGCTGCGCGTGGCCCTGCAGGCCGGCGGTGCCTGGTGCGGGCGCGCCCGCCTGGCATGGTTTGCCGTCTTTCACCAGGACGGGCACAGCCACGCGGCGCGGCGATTGCTGTTGCGCCTGCTGCTGCTGCGGACACCCGGCACCCCCGCCGCCCCCGCCGCCCCCGCTGTCCTGCTGCAGTTGTTGTTGTGCGGCCTTGTCTTTGGCCTGGCGCTTCATCTTGTAGCGGTGGTTCTGGAACCATATCTTGACCTGTGTGGGAGTCAGGTGGATCATGCTGGCCAGGTGCTCGCGCTCGGGCGCCGACAGGTACTTCTGTTGCTTGAAGCGTCGCTCCAGCTCATACACCTGCGCCTGGGAGAAGAGCACCCGGCGCTTCCGGCGCGGCGCGCTCGGCAACGGGGCCATGTTCTTGCTCACATCCCCCAGCGAGCCCAGGCCGCCCATGCCGCTCATGTTCATGCCGCTCGCCGGGCCCATGAAGCGGGAGACTGTAAGCGACAAACGCACAGCGTCGGCTGGGGCCGGGTCGGGCCAGGCCATCCCTGCTTTCTGAGCCCTTGGCCCTCCCGGCCCGCCCCGACGGTGCCCTCCTCACCCAGGCCGCCTCGCGCTCTGCTCTGACAGGTCCAGCCGCTGGGCATCGCCAGCGCCTGCCCCAGGCCATGTTGTTGAGGGGCTTACGGAGAACCCCCGCCTTCACAAACTCGGGCTCTACTCCCCACCCAATCTCAAGGCTCAACTCCAAAAGCGCAGTTGGGGAAGGCCGCTCCTGCTCTCTATGTGCCCAGTTCCCGCGTGAATCAGTGCGCTAGCTGGCCACAGGCGGCGAACTGGGTCCAGGTCGAGAGCTGGGGACCGACGGTAGATCCCAATTTTGTCAGCTCTCAAAGAGGGGAGGTGTTCACTTTGGAAAGTTCAAGCTCTCAGACTCTGCCTCTTGTCCGCTCTCTCCTGGGCACCTGCTCGGCCTGTTTAGAGCCCCCTCTGGAGTCACGCGCCCTCCCACCTTCCCAGACTAAACTGGAGAGCGGACTCGCCAGGAGCCCAGAGCAACTCAGCAGGGCAGCCTCCCACCCGGCTAGGCCGCGCCTCTTCGCCCCTGCTCCCTTCACTTGGGAGAGTGCCTCCCTCGGCTACCCGAGGTATCCCGCACTGAGCGGAGCTACCATCGGTCACTCCTAGGAGATGCCGAGTAGAAGCACTTCCATGCCCTACCTAGTGCCTCTTCTTGACCCTCAGCCCAGCCAGGGGAAGAACTTTCTGCTCCCATGCCCAACTCCCTGGCGCCGCTGCCTGGCAGCCGATCCAGATGCCCATCGCGCAGTCGGCCGACGCCGCGCCTTCGGAGCGGCTCTCCCCACGCCTCCCCGCCCACAGTTCTCAGCCCGCGGCCCCACAGAGGGGCGGCTTCACTTACTGGCGGGGAAACGCGGATCTGGGTTGGCGCCGTACCATCCCGGGCCCGAGGCGCTGTTCCGCATGGTGTCCTGGTACGGCGGTAGCTCACTCATGTTGCCCAGGTTGCCGTTGCAGTAGCCCCCCACAGCGGAGTGCGAGAGCTGGGGCACCCCCGCCGCCGTCATGTGGTAGGCGGCTGTGACGGCGCCGTGGTGCCCCATGGCGTGCTGCGGCATGGCCGTGGCCGGCGGCGCCGCCTGGCTCTGCCTGTACGCCGCCAGCGGAGCCCCGAGGCCGCCGCCCTCCATGCCCACTTTCTTGTAGCTTTCCTCCAGGGGACTCAAGATGTCAGACACTGAGAACGGAGTCGTGTGCTTTGGACTCATCGACATGATTCGGCGGCGGCTGGAGGAGGAAGGAAGAGGAGGAAAAAAAAGGGAGAGGGGGAAGGCGAAGCCTCGCTGCTTTTTTTTTCTCTCCCTTTGCCAAATATTCTGGTGTTACCTTAACGCCGATCTTGTTGGATGTACACGTAACGGAGTGGACCGAGTCCGCCTTAATTGGCTTGAGTGGAGGCTCGGGGGCTGCCTCGCGTTTGTTTTAGCCCGGCGCCAGGTTTTAGGCAGCCACCAGAGGCGGGGCGTAAGCGCTAAAGCAACAAGACAATAGAAGCCTACATCTTGCCCGAGATAATTAGCTTACATGCTGATGACAAGGTAAACACCTTTAAGTTTCACTTGTCAGGATTTTTAGGTTTCAAAGAGAGAAAGAGAAGCAGAGACACGACCCAAAGCATTTCTTTCCCCCTCCCCCGGGTACCCCCACCCCCAATTTTTGTGGGGTGCCGGTGGCAGGAGGGGGGGAGGCGGAGGAGGGGAAGGAGGAGGGAACCAAGAGCGGGGAGGGCAGGAGGTGGGGTGGGGAGTAGCCGAGTAGGAGGGATGTTGGAGAGGAAGGAAGGTGAATGCTGCTTTGCAACCAACTTGCGGAGTTACAAAGTGGAATCACTTTCCAATTCGGTCGGGGTTCCCCGGGCGGGGACAGGTCTTGAAGGGGGAGGGGACCAAGGGACAGGGTGGGGGTTTCACCTGAGCCTGCTGGGGCTGCTCCTCCCTCCCGCCGCGGCCTCCCAGCCCCGCGCTTTCCCACAGCCTCCGGACCACATCGGGCTTCGAGGTGCAGAGCCCCAGCCGCCACCAAATGAGCGAGAGAATCTGGGGACGAACCCTGGGGCCGCACCGATGGTCTGCGAGTCTGTCAGTCTGTCTGCCGCTTCTGCCGCCGTCAGAGGGACACCCTCTGCTCCCCGCCCCCTTTCCCCTTACCCAGAGAATCGACGCGGCGGAGGGGGCGATGAGCAGGGGATCGGCTGTCGCCGAGAGGCTGTCCAGGTCTTCGCGCCCCCCACCCCAGTTGAGGGGCTTCTCAGAGGAGCAAGTTCCCCTCATTTCAACCCCCACCCCAAACAAACAAACGGCTCCTTCTCCCCACCCCCACATTAGACTGAGGCAAACTCACCACTGGCCGCCAGGACTGGGAGAATGGGGGAGGGGGGTAACAGGAGGGGCCATCAGTGAAGTTCCCCCACGTCAAACAAACCTGGTGTCCCCGACCCTCGCCCATCTCCCGGACACGCGGGATTATAGGGCTGGAGCTGACTTTCCGAGGACATCACAGCTCCAACACCCAAGCCCCAGGGCCACGCTGTTGTCCCTTTTGGTGCTTCAGGAAGGGCTCAGGCAGGGAGCTGTGAGTGCCCGCCCGCCTGTTGCGACTGCGAACTGAGCCTGAACCCCGGCGGGGCTCGCTGATCAGGAGGGGGCAAATACCGAGGCGATGGCAGCGCAGCGGCGGGAGTCTGAACTAGGGCTTGCCTTTACCCAGACCTTAGCCATGCAAAAGTGCACTCGCTTTCCTGGGAATAACCAAATATCTTTGTTTAAAGTGGCGGCGTAAATGGCCAGTTGCTTTGTGACCACGCTGGATATTAGTAGATGAGGATCATTCTGCTTCAATTGGGCGCCTCTCAAACGGCGAGCAAGAAACTGCTTAGAAGGAAGTGGGTTTCCTGTCTGTGCGTTCCCAGGCTTCAAGAGTGAGCCCGCGCCTTGAGGGTCCTTGGGCGCCTGGCGAGGGGGAGCTGTGGGCTGCGCTCCCCGCGCTGGGCCGGGAGTGTCCGCCGCGTTGCACATGCCAGGCCCAAGCCAAGTGGATCACCGCGCGGGGCTGTGTGCCGCATAGATTTTGAGACCGACTCAGGCTTTTTGATCCTTGGATTTTAAACTCCCCCCTCCCCTTTCTCAGGCTGTTTTATCCTCCTTTCCGCGCTAGGGGCTGGGATGGCGGAACGCTCACTATCCTAGCAGAGGTCTCCAAGATACTGTGGGACCATTTCAAGGAGGTGTCTAGAATTTGCTTTTTGTTTCCACACACTTCTTTTCCTTCCTTGTAAGAGGGGGCTCCTGATGATGCACAAGCAGTTTTGGACAATTTAATGCAGTAGGTTAGACCCCTTTTTCATTAATAGCAATTATAGTAGAGGAAGTTGTTTAGTTTATTTACTTTTTAACATTTCGATCTTCTCCTTGTGGCGTGCTCCGCACTTTCCCATTACACAGTCTACTTCTGTATTCTCATTCGCGTTCTTTGTCCAATGTTCCTCAGAGAAGAGAGAAAGCTCAGAACGACTCCGCACCTCCCTAGGCTTGCGCTTCGATCCTAGCCTCTGCGAGGCCCTCAAAGCGGCTCTGGGACTCGCAACCGTGCGTTTGCGCACTGAGACGCGCTCGCCAGCAAGAACGCAGCAGAGAGGCGCGAAGCCCCGCGCCATGCCCTTCTTTCTCTTAGGTGACGCTTTCAAGAGGGACTGAGACTTCGCCAACTGTATTTTGGTCAGTGTGGTGTCTGAGGCAAGGGAGCAAGGAGAAAAGGCGACACCTAGTTTATTCAGCCGAACTGTGGAGGAGAATGAGCCAACCTTATCCCGGCCTGCGTCTTGAATGAGGTCTTAATAGTAACGCGGGCTGGGTTTTCTAGTCACCTGTATTCTCTTTCTCTCCATTACTTCATACGTGTTAGTAAGTGTAAGGAACGCCAAGTGTAGAACATCTAACACTTTGCCTGGTCGCAGTGTTATTGCTAAATGGAGAGAATTCTTCACAAGGTTTTTGCGAGATTCAAACGAGATCCGGCACGTAGAAGTGCTTTGAAGTGCGTTAAGTTCAGTGCCAGCACTCAAGATTTCTATAGTTACTGCTATCATTAATACCTCCCCCTCGCCGTTTTAGGGTCCCAGACCCGAGTGAAGAAAAGAGTTGGGTGAATTTTCCAATGTCCTTGGGCCGTGCCACTTCGACCTTCGTTCTTCTACAGCTTTGCAACTCCGCAGAAGGCTTGGTTACACGTGGCCCGCAGCTACTCGGCTCCCCTAGGGGTCTAGAAAGCCTGAAAAAAACCAAGAGCCTCTGCTCACTCCAGAGACCCCTGGCTCCGGGCCCGTGGACCTGGAGATTCGCACTGCTATCCCCGCTGAGTTGGAGCCAGAGAGCTCCAGAGGGGAGGGCAGGAACCTCCTCCCTTACTCGCCATAGCCCCCCTGTCCGCGACCCACATTACGTCCAACTTCTCGCTGCATGCACCAGCTCCCACCAGGATTGCCTGGGCCTCCGTGGCCTGGTCTCCTGTCCCCTCTTCCACCCTCGTCCCTTTGTCTGTCTGTCTCTCATTCACTCAATCCTTTCCAGGCGCACTGCATTGCCAACTGTTCTCAAGTGCAGTCGTCAACTTGCTTCCTACTCATGTTGTTGTTGTTGTTGTTAAGTGCCATCGAGTCGGTTCCGTCCCATAGAGACCCTGTACAGGGTTTCCGAGGGTGTAAATCTTTACGGGAGTAGAAAGCCTCATCTTTCTCCCGCGGAGCGGCTGGTAGTTTCGAACCGCTGACCTTAGGGTTCGCAGCCCGATTCGATAGGAACCCTGTATAGGGTTCCCAGGAAGTGGCTGGTGGGTTTGAACGGCAAACCTTGAGGATAGCAATCTGGTGCTTATCCTTCAGTGCCACACCAGTCCAGATACTAAGAGGCCTTGTAGGAAAAACGTCAGATGTATACGTAAAGAGAGAGTCCTGCTGTGGGTTAATGCGCCAGACTGCAAAGCCGTTTGATCTGCAGGGCCTGCGGTTCAAGCTCACCAGTTGCTCCTCGGAAACCCTATACAGGGTCGCTATGGGTCGGAACCGACTCGACAACAACATATAGATATAACAGATATCTCAGAGGTCGTCCAAAAAAGGGCTTCCCCCTGGCCCCAACACTTGTACCGACTGAAGGAAGTACTTTCTTCTGTTGCTTTCAAGATTCATCTTCAATAGCACTGCCCCATATGTAGGAAACCAGAGGGTTTTGTCTTTTTTTTTTCCCCAAAGGAACTTGTTCGTAGGGAATATTTAGGAACTCCAAGCCTAAGCGGGGCCCAGTTCGCCAGCCACGCATTCCTTAATCCCTCAATTAACTCGCTCGAGAATGGGGTGGGCGATATGATCACTAAGGGGCAGCAGGTAGGGCAGGGACCAACGTAGGCCCATGACGGAGTTTTCCTTGTCGCCAGCCCACGTTGTCTTCGCCTCAGACCACTGCCACAGTCTGCTTCACAGCCTGTGGCTTGGCCCAAAATTACAAGACCTTCGAGCTTGGAGTCGAAGGACCAGGAAACGCCTGAGAGACGTAAAGTTGTCACCTGCCAGGTTCCCCACCCAAAGGCAAACCCTGCTCTTTCCCTTCAGTGTTGTTTTGAAAGCCTAGAACAGAGGAGGCTCTACAAACGACTAATCCAATGACTACAGCACAGACTTGGTTGAGACGAGGAGGGGCCATCTGTTTTCCCACCTCTGGCTACCTTTTCAATCCCCGTTTATGGTCCTTCACATCTCTCTGAGGGCTCTGTCGACCCTGTCTTCTGATGGTGTTATTTTGTTCCGAGTTTAATTAACCCTTAAATCGTGATCCATTCAACAAATTTTTACTGAGTGCAGTTTGTGCCAGACACTGTGCTAAGTCTGAAAATTCGGCTTTAAACCATCCCCACGTGATTCCTATCCACTCACTCAAGTATCATGTTACTTTGTGAGAAATGTGAATATTACCTCGGTATCCAACCAAGATAAAGAGGTTGAAATGAAGATTTCTGTGTGGAAATCGACACCATTTCCGAATCTTCAAGCCTCCTGCGTATTGGGAAGAGCTTGACTAGAAGTCAGAAGTCCTGAGGTTTGAGATAGGCTCCACTTTCAAGCTCTGTGGCACAAGCTACAGGCCCACTCTTATTATAGCCAGAGTAAAGTAGCGGGCTTTTTTACTCCCTTCTTCTGGGTGAGATCCTGGCTTACTTATCTTTGGCTCTCCCATTATTCCAAGAAAAGCATTGAATAAAGAAATAAAAGCTCCTTAGCGCCTATTTCCTAAGCTGCAAAAAAAAAAACGGTTATAACCTGTCCTGTTGTGCTAGGGATCCACATATTTAAGGATAAGATACTGTGTTTGAGTTTGTGTATAATAAGTCTCTGGCAGTTGACAGGGACTTTTGATTCTGCTTCGTTTCGTGATTTATAGAAAATAGAAGGCGTTATTACTTTGAATTTTCATCTTATTTTGAATCCAGGCCTCTGACCCTCTATGTGAAGTTCTCGGTTGGTTCTTCAGCTGCTCCTGCTCCCAGGCCTGTGGCAGAAAGTTTCCCTCACTCAGGTAACCTCTCTGGGTCTGGACTGAATCGGGCTCAGATAAGCCGGTGGAGGCCTAACAATCCAAAGAGTGGGAGGATGTTGGAATGCAACCGGCGGTCGGTGATTTCCAGATCCTTGATCACTGAAACTCTAGAGGCGTCTTCCTGGCCTCCAACTCTTTTCCCAAAACACTTAACCAGAGACCCTGAGGGTGCGAGGGTTCGAGGGTTCCCAACTGGGCGACTTTTCTGAGGAGGGTTTCTAAGGAACAGATATGGAGATCTGCGCTACTGCGCGCAGGCTCTTTCTCCAGTTCTCATTTCCCTCAGTTTGGCCATCTAGAGCTTTTGAGGTTCCTGGGCAGAACATGGTGGACGCAGAGACATCCGAGAGAGCTATGGTTGGAAAGCAGAGATGATGGCGCACCCTTGAAGGCCAGAGTTCTAGAGAAAAGGAGAGTCTGGCCCGCACGACTTAGTATGGGGGAACCCGCTCCTTCCTCAGGTCTAGCCCTCCTAGAGGTCCTGGAACCCAGC